AGGGATCGAACTGGGGTCCTTGCGCTTGCAAGGCAGGCGGCGAAACCACTGAGCTAAATCCCCGGCCCTCTTTTTTTTTTTAAAGTTACCATGGCACAAACCCGTCTGTCTCTGCTGTCCTGCAGACTGCAAGAAATGCTGATCCTGGGTTCTTCTCTTATGCAATTCTAATATCCCCCTCCCTCCCTCTGCTTTCACATCCAGTCATTAGCAGTAAGGGAAGCCTTAAACTAGGATTTCCCTCAACAGAAACAAAGTAAATAACTTGTTTCCATTCTCCCTACTAGGTATTTATTCCCCTTACTGATATTTCCTCAATTTTTCATAAATCCATTGTGGTCTATTTGTTTTTTCACACCTGGCTTTGGCGCTTTCATCAAATTTGGGTGTACCTAAATAGTGACAGAGGAAGGCAAGGAAAATGAAGCATGGTCAGCTCTTCTGCTTGTTACTAGGTCTGTTGGGTGAGGAGGATGGAACAGCCAAGAGTAAGAGTAAGAGATGGTGGGAGGACCCTTAAACCCCTGAAAGAGAACAAAGTCAAAAGATACAGGATCTAGAGCCGGGGATTTAGCGCAGTGGCACGGTGCCTGCCTTGCAAGTGCAAGGTCCTGAGTTTGATCTCTGGCACCAAAAAAAAAAAAAAAAAAAAAGATGTAGGTTCTAATACTGACTTTACCACCTATTAGATACTAGCTTTGGACAAACCACATAACCTTTGTGAACCGGATCTGTAAAATGGAGTTAGAAACACCTTCAGTACTTTAAAAGGTTAGGAGATTAACATATTTCTAAACCTACTCCAAGAATGGTGAAATGCTATTTTAAAAAATTCATTTATACATCTGTGCAATTTCTACCCTCCAAATAAGTACTGGTGGTTGCTTCTTTTCATCACTGGAGCCAAAATAAGCAAGCAAAATCGCCCACTTCTTGACAATTCTGAGCCGTAGACAAAATTACAGGCATACTAAAATAAAATGGGAAACATACCAACAAATGACAAGAGACAAGTTAACATAGGTCTTGATTAAAGCTATATTAAGAATGCTTCCTTAGTCATCTCAGGACAAATTTCTCTCAACAGTTTGGGTCTAGATGTCCTGTAGATCCCTGAAGCCTCCAAGGGTACAACAGTGTCTTTGGCTAAGAATATATTTATGAGGATAATAGAAAGGTGGAGAGAAGTAATATACATCTCTAGGGTTCTCCTTAAAGAGACAAAGCATGCCACAGAACGATGCCAAAACATTGAGAGGGTCAGCACAGTGGCAAAGTCTCAGGTTTTAAGAGTAGAAAACAGCTGGGTTTCAGTCCCAGCTCTGCCACTTATTGACAGGGGTAGTCAAGCTTTCAGCAAGGTTTTTTATCTGCCAAATGAAGCAAAATACTATCTACTTCAAAGGGATACTCCAAGAATTAAGAAAGAATGTATGTAAGGCATCAGGCACATAAAAGGTGCTTAATAAATGAGTAATAGCAGAACAGGCATTAAAAAAAGAAAAAAAGCCACTATCCAACGCTTTAGTGTCTACTCCTATTTAAATCAGGAGGCTTTTCTCTTATGTCAATGGTTCCCATCCATGGCAACTTTACCCTCCCAGAGCACATTTCACAACATCTGGAGATATTTGGTAGCCACCACTAGGGGTACTACTGGCACCTAGTGGGTAGGGGGCCAGGGATGGTATAAAACACCCTACAGTGCATGGGAAGAGTATACCACAACAATTATGATGGCACACACCTGTAATCCCAGCACTTGGGAGGCTGAGGCAGGAGGATCACTTCGAGTTCAAGGCCAGTCTGGGCTACATGTCTCAACACCCCCCCCCCAAAAAAAACCCAAACATTATGTGGCCCAAATCATCACAGGGCCAACCAAGACTGAGAAATCCTATCATACAGCTAGCATTCGTTGCTATTCAATCTGAGAAAGCTATTTCCCTTTCTTAGTTTACTCATCAGTAACATGGGATAAATTTACCTTTGGGCCCTACTCCATTAAGCTATAGGGAAGATCAAATGAAACTATGGATGAGAGGCATTTTCCTTATTATACATTTTAATAACATATGCAAAAGCTGGGCACTGACAGTACCATTCACGTACTGGGGAGGGTGGATGGCTAATGGGGTATAATTCTTTGTGTAGGAACACCACCATCCAAAGGGGCCTCTTATCTTCTTGTTTAACTGGAGTGTGGAAGTTCTCATGAATAGAGACAGGACAATAGCATGTCTCAGGGAGAGAGGAGCAAGATGGAGTGTGGGAAGTTGGTGGGTAGAGCACAGTTATCAGAAAGATGCTAGCCGACAGATGTTAGGAAGTGAGACACTGCTTGGTGTATGTCTATTTGAGCTGCCATAACAAAACACCATAGCCTGGAAGGGTTAAAAAAGACAGAGGTGTATTTTCCCATAGTCCTGAAAGCTGGAAAGCTCAACATCAAGTTTCTAGCAGGGTTTGGTAGTGTTCTTCCTGATTTACAAACAGCTGCCTTCTTAGTCGGTCCTCCTACGGCAGTCAGGAAGAGACTACCAATCCTGTCAGATTAGGCTCTACCTTTATGACCTTGTTTAATCACTTCTACAAAGGCCCTATCTCCACAAAGTCTCACTGTGGGGGATAGGGCTTTGACACATAAATGTGGAGGGTGCAATTCAATCCATAATATGCAGGTACACATAAGACCCAGCATCTCAGAGAAGAGGTTCAAACATTAATTTAGTGCTTTTCTATGGGAACATCAACCAACTTTTCCTTTTCCAGCTGCCTTCCAGGCAACTAACTCTTGCAACACTTTCATTTAGGCACCTCTTCAGGCATTCTGTGGACTTCCAGGGTCAGGGAAGGACTGCTTCCTTATTTATGTCCCAGTCCTCAAACCTGAAATCAATCAGGTTACAGGTTTTCAATACTGGCTAATCAAAATCACTTTAGATCCACTTCTTACTCTTGGGAACTTCTTTTTTAAAGTTCAATCAATATAGGCATGGTGGCACCTGCCTACAATTGGAACTACTCAGGAGGCTGAGGTAGGCAGATAAATTGTTCAAGGTGAGCCTGTCTCACCAAAAACTTGTCTCAAAAAAAATAAAAAGGGCTGGGGGTTTAGGTCAGTGGTAGAGCACTTGGATCCTGGGTTCAACCCCCAATACTGGAAAAATAAAAATAAAAAAGTTCAAGCACACCCTAGACTAAGTTAGTTAGGTATCAGTTAATTTACAAGGCAGGTGAGAATAGGCAATTAGCTTCAGAAAGGTAAAAACCTACACTAAGCCTAACCTAAGCCTAGTTAGTGATCAGAATCACCTGAGGAACTGTTTAAAAATACAGATTCCTGGGTCCCACTCCAGATCAACTAAATCAGAATGTAAGGGGGAGGGGCTAGGACACACACCCTCTGTGGTCCATGGTTCTCAACTTTGGCTTCTCACTGGAATTACCTGCCTTGTAAATATTCATTTCTGTTGCTATACACCAGCTTTCCAGGTGCAGACTTTATGTCCTTCCTCCTCTTCATGGCACATTATTTTGGGGATATATAAAACGATGGTACTTCAAGGAGGAAGTTTTCTAGAAACAAGAGGAAAATCAGCAAAATGGGGGTTTAAAAAGTGTGAAGCTTGCCAAAGGAGCAGGAAGTTTGGTGAAAGATATAGGAAGAGGTAGTAATAGAGATGAAGAGGTCACAGGGGTGAAAACTGGGCTGGCAGGATTCAACAGCAAATTAGTAAACACATATAAGGAAGTTGTGAAAGGCCTTGTTCTGAGCACAAAAAGGTAATATGAAACAGCATCTTCTGGTGCCCCCAGCTGCCCCACCCATCTTATCCATCAATTCTTTCCTGGACGCTGTGTACTCATTTGCAGCAAGCTACAAGAATACTTTAATAGGGGAAAATGATAAAGCCGAAAGAATAGGGGATATAAAAGAGGGAATTTCCAACACATTTACTGAACAGAGAGAGGGACAAGAAAGATCATATTGTCATAACTTTTTGATATCTCATTATCACACCATCCTACTTGCTGAGTCCTGGGGGCTGTCAACTATTGCCACTCATCTTGAAATTCTCTAGTACTAACATAAAAATGAAGTTATATAACCGGGATCCAGGCATCCTGATGAAAAACGTGATGTGGACAGAAAGGTCAGATCACAAAATCTAAGAACTTCAGGGAGAGTTTCAGCTTGTGTCATCACTAGTCAGGCACATTAAATTTTCCTTACAGAAATAGAAAGGCACTTAGATTCTAAGGCAAAGGCCACCGTCACACTTCCTTATTTAACTTTTACATGTTATTTTCTTCCTTAACATCTCTATCAGAAAAACAGGGCTGGGGATTTAGTTCAGTGGTTTCGCTGTCTGCTATGCAAGCACAAGGACCTGAGTTCGATCCCTGGTACCAAAAAAAACAAAACAAAACAAAAAACCAGAAAAAATCTCAAAGATAACTTGACTGAATTTCACCTATGGAACCAAAAGTAAGGAACAAAAATAAATAAATGAATGAATGAATGAATGAATGAATAAATAAATAAATAAATGGAGGGAAGACATAAAAGAGTGGGTTAAGAAATGTATTTCGGGCCGGGGATTTAGCTCAGTGGTTCTGCCGCCTGCCTTGTAAGTGCAAGGACCCAAGTTTGATTCCCGGTACAAAAAAAAAAAT